AATTTTTATTTTATTTTATTTTTGAACTAAATGATATTTTCATCAAGTAACTTACTTATCATTTTAATAAGGTAGGGAGGCCATGATTGAAAAGAGAAGGGCTCGGAATGATTATTATCGAAGAGAGGAAAGCCCAGATATGGCATTAAATGATGATGACTTGTTGGGAGGAGATGATTATGCATCTAGGTAGATTTTCATGCCGTTGACTGTATACAATATAATCACGGAATATAACATGGATTAATTCTTAATTTCCAGGATCGCTGCACGAAATCGTGCTAGGGGTGCACGTGATAACAAGAAACGCGAATATAAAGCTGAAAAAGAAGCAGATAAGCAACAACGAGCAGTTGCTTATCAATCTAAAGAAAAGGAAACTTTAGAAATGTTTAGAAGGATGGCCGAAGAAAATCGAAAAACAGGAAGTGGGATGTGGGGTCAATATAAAGATTCCTAGGCTTATATATTTTAATTAAAAGAATTAAGGAGATATTTAAATATCGAGGATGTTATTTAAACTGTGTATTCAACTATATTTCATATTGGAATGTGATTACGTGAAAACTCATTCTGTTGTTTACAGCATCTTGAATAAAAGAAATCAATAAACTGTGCATAACAAGTTAAGCTTGCAATTTTGAACTTGTATTGATGAAACGTAATTTGTCTTTATATTGTTTTCAAATTTCTAAATCGATTTTTTGATGAATTTTGTTAATTTAAGTAATTCATTAGTAAAGTGTATTATAAGATTTTATTTTTAAAAATTATTTATTATATAGAAAATACATACAGTATACAATTTGATATTTTAAAAACAGTAAAAATTTTTAAAAATATAAATTGAAAATTGTAATATATTTTTTTAAAAGCAAATGTTGGGTCATAGTTGATTAATATTTATTTTGTTTTTTATTCTTTTTAAAAACATATTATTATAAATGTATTAAACAATATCACTTTTTGAAAACAATTTTTTTTTTCGTTTGTTTTATTTTCTTTTTGAAAAATGCTACAATAACAAAGCATTAAAAACTTATTTACAAGTAAAAATAATAGGTTTCTAAATTAAAAGCAAAACCATAATTAATATTGAAAAAATTTTTTTAAATAAATTTTGCTTATTAAATATTTTTTGAATTTATTTTATATACAAAGTCAATAGCAGAAATATCTGATTAAAAAAAATACAAGTTTAAATCAATTTTTTTTAAGATTTAAAGAAAAATATAAATTTGATTTTAAAAGTTATATAATAGTAATAAAAAAAAACATTTTTTTTTATTTTAAAATCTTATATTATAAAATTAAGGCTTTAAAAAATACCAAACTGGTATTGAATTGGTATTTGATATTGAAATGTTTTTTTTTTAAGTAGGTAAACATCATTTCTTTATTTAATTTGTATATGTCAGGGTATACATCATAAAAGAAACAACATTCCTTATGTATTATTGTGATAAGTTAAATACTAGCTTGCTTACAGCAACTACTTGATTAATATTGAAAAGAAAATTTAAAATAATATATCTTGCCAAGTAGTACCGAGCAGTTATGAATACCTACTCAGTATTAGGAGGGAAGAAATTAGCCAATGATGAAATTAGATTTCTAATATATTTGGTATAATTATATTTACAATAAATAAAAAAGTTAATAACTATAGTGGATAAGTTAACAGTAATTTCTTGTAAGGAGGTGTTTGTGAATGAGGCTTCATCTTGTAGGCTGTGAGTATGGATAGTTCTGATGGAATAAGATAAAGTGAAAGATTTGTTATTAGGATTTCACTTAATTCCTGTGATTGGTGAGGTATTGGTTGTTAAGCAACAAAATTTTCAAATTAAACTATACAGTTGAATCAGGGCTTCTAATGCTACCTCAACCCAGTTAGAAAAATTGGAAACTGAAAATATTTTGTCTATAATACCATATAACAATTCAATGATTTGTTATATATTTGAAATTAGAGTTTGATTGTTGTTTGGTTGAAATATTTGATTAATAGTCATGATGATTTGTTTAACCTTTTTAGAAATCTTAAAACATTTAAAAACATGTTTTATATTATATCTTCAGTATGGAGTTTGCATTTTGGGCATAGAGTATCCAAATATTGACTAGGATATAACTAATGTAATTGTTAACAAGTAGGTAGAGTTTCCAATAGTAGCTTGATTCTAAATATGATGAGGTTGCTATAATTATTATTGCATAGTTTCTTGATCTTTTTGTTAGATTTATTGATGATTTTAAGTTATATAAAGTATGTGTACATTAAAAAGTTTGGAGAACAGATGAATTTTTACAAATTATGTAGTCTCTAGTGATGCTAAAGATCTTTTTGCACTATCTGACACTGCTTCTGAGGCAAGAATTATTGATTAGTGAACTTTCAGGAAAGTGTAATAGAAGGTTGTTCCATTGGATAGTTTCGGATATTATTAGTTTGGATTTAGGTTTGATATATATGATTTGGATAGATCTTTGTTATATTTGTTGGTTTATTTTTTAAATTAGTACAGAGAAGTTGATTTTGATCATTCTTCTAGAGTACTCAGAGATTGGTTGAAGGATTCTCTTGTTGCTTCTGATTTCAATGGTATTGCAATGTGAATTCCACTAGGTGATATCCAGTATTGCAAATAGAATATTGCCCAGTGATAGGTATGAATTGAGAGATATAACTTTAATATCATTTATAATTAGATTATCCTTATATGATTGAATGTAAATGTGGTGCTATAAGCCAATTTTTTGTGATAGAGTTTGGGGGCTGGAAGTATTAGAAATGTTGATTTCTTGTAACATGTGTTCATTATCTTGTAGTAAGTTGAAAATTTCCTCTAGTATAATAAGTAGACAGTATTTTGAACTGTTAAATGGATTGAATAATATCCATAATATTGAGGCAGAAGGGCTTGTGAATTCTAACCAGCAGAAGCTATAGGAGGTTGAACTGATTGGACAACCTGAACATCTAATAAGATTATTATTGTGATCAACTGTAAAGTGTTTTTCTTTAAATATTGTTTTTTTAAGTACTGGTTGGTATTTCTTGCGAACTTGGACTATTGTATTGGTATTGTAGAGAAACCAAAATGTTAATTTGGGGTTTGGGACCAGATTATGGAATCCATATAAGTTTTGTATATTTGAGAATATTTTGAACTAATTGGATTCTTAACCAAGTTGAATTATACCTGTGTGGAAGGCAAGTTGGGTCATATAAGTTTGATGATACTTTGAAATTTTAGTAATTGGTTGATAAATTTTATATTGAGGGTATTAGTTATGTTGATTACTGTTTTTTTAAGTTGGAATTGAAGAGAAGAAAATAGAAAATCAATTGAGTTTTCAGCATTGTTAAATTGGAAAAAACACTCTATTGGATATATTTGAATTTTAAAGTCTTTAGCTGTTTTTCTGCATAAAGAATTCAGTTGTTTTGTTCAAACTTTTCAGAATTGCAAATTGGACAGAACCAGATTATATTTTTTGCTTGAATAGATCAGATATATTATATTGTTTGATATCGAAATATTATTAAAGTGATATTGAAATAATATTGTTAAGAGTTTTATATAAAATAATTTTTTAATGCATTAATAATAAAATTAATTAAAAATAAATATATTATTATTTTTTATTTATTTTATTTAGTCAACCAGCTAGGGATTGCCTTAATATATTTATTATTTTATTTACATATATATTTTATATATTACAGGAATTACTATCTATAAATAATTCTATATATTATTAAACTATATCAATTTTACTTTATATTAGCTTGTTATTATCAGTATTATCTCAAAGGAGTTAAGCCAAGGCTAATGTGTCTAGAATTCTATTAGTGTTACTATTGTATAAATAGTAGTTTTGTTTTATTTGATATTGTGAGAGTTTTAAGTGGAAGTTTGAAATATAAAAAACTGAGAATAGTATTTATTTTTGATAAATAAAATACTAATTTGAAGGAATTCTTTAAATTTATATTATATTATTTCTTTAAATTATCTAGACAGTCAAATATCTATGCTAATTAATTGCCTTCCAAAAAATAATAATATATATCTATACAATATATAACAAAACTTTTTGTGATTTTTTATTTATTTTTTATTTAAAAACTATTGTATAAAAATTAATATAAATTTAAAGATTGTAATAATATAAATTTTATATAAAAATTTTTTTTTAAATTTTTAAAATTAATTTTGAATAAAAAAAAACTTACTTTTGATTGTATTTATTTTGTTAAAAATTTTACTTTTATAGTAATTTTAAGTAAGAAAAAATGGGTTATACTTTTATTGCAAGTAAGTTTTAGCTTAGAAACTCAAGAACCTTTAAGACAATTAATATAATGGAATGAAACCTTTGGTCAAAGTCTATTCAAGTTTAGGAGTCTTGTATATTTTTTGATTATATAAGAAAAGATTTATGTCAATTTTTTATTTTTTTGTTCTTTTGCACACCTTCTTACTTTTATTCTATTATAAAAATTATTTATATTATTACTATTATATTTACTAAATCAATACTTTTCAAAACATATACTTAAATAGAATTAATAAGTCTATTGTTTGTTTCAAGTTAATTCAAAATTAGTTTACTCCTATTAGATAATTAGTATTTTTAATTATCCAATCAGATTTTGCTTAAAAATTAAAACAAAAACTGAATTTGTTAAAATCAGTTATATTTATAATAACAATAATTATAACAATAACATTAATTATATTACCACCAATAACTATTACAACAAATAATATCATATATATTTTATTATTTAAGATAAATAAAAAGTAAAAAAAATAAAATCATAAGCCTATCTAGGAGCTCTTTTAAGTTATATTTGATTTTTTGCTTATAGATACTATAATTTACTTCACTTAGTTTTAGTTTTAGTTATGTTTATTTTTTTTCTCAATTACTTTACTTATAAATTTATAAAAAGACTTTATAAAAAATTTTAAATAAGTAAGTATAACTACTATTTAGACATAACTAGTATATAGTATTGTTTTGAATTTTTTTTTCAATATTAGTTTGCAAATTAATATTTAACTTTCTTAAATACTAAAAGAGATGTTGTTTTTTTCACAATATATATATCTTGTTATATATAATATTAAATAAAGAAATAATATTTATTTATAAGAAAAACTCCTCAAAAAATTAATTATAAATAAAATTTATATTTAAAATTTAAATTTTTTTTTAATTTTATATATAGATTTTTTTCTTTTAAAAAATTTTTTTTAATAATTTTTAATTTGTAAATTTTTTAAAATTTGAATTTAAAGCTTTTTTTTAATAATATCAAATAAAATATAAAATTTTATAACTTCATAAATTTAAATGCAATAAATTTAAAAATTAATTAATAATAAATATAATATTATATCTTTTTAATAAAAAAATTTTTTATATTTTAATTTATAATTTATT